AATGAACGTAAATTATTTTTTTATTATTCCGAAATCTTCAATCTATATATACATTTTTTAAACTTATTCTTCTTATTTTTTCCCTTCAGTCTTAAAGACCATACAATCTAACATATTTGACTTCAATTTTATCCATTCAATACTATTTCTAAAATATTAATTTAATTCAATATTTTATTATGTATTTATTGTTATTGTAACAATTCGGATATTATCTGCTAATGCGAATTGTAGTCATGTCGTATTGATGTCGTCGTTTTTATATTTCAAAATAATAACTTTTTACACAACAATTCGAACACAAAAAAACTATATTATTGCCATTCAGATGTATATTCATAAGCTCAAACATTTTTAGACCGTAGACTTACGGTTATTATGCGTGAATAGATAACACGAAACATGCAAGTTAAATATTATAATACTCTGTCCTCTTATTAAAATTTCAATATTATCGCGTGGTATTTCTAAACTCTGCTATTGAAGTTTTCCAAGAAAAGTTGTTATATTATTTTAACGATTCGTACGCAATTGAGTTTAATTAATTTTAAGTTTGTGGTGTTGTATGACATACTTTTAACAAACACGTACACAGCTGCATAAAATTATAGCGATTTCACTCATCATAGGCCATAACTACTCGTATACCACCATAATGTGCATGTAATTAGCTACTCAAATCAATTTTTTTTCTCAATAATAGGACGATTTTTTTTTAAATATTTTGAAGTATAAGTCAGTTATTTGGAAGTTTAGAGTCATGTTCACTTATATACAAATGTATATATTTTAGCCACTTACTCCTTTGAAACCTAGTCGTTTTATAATTATATAGTTGTTTTTCATATCAAAATGTTCTGTTTGGTTTTTAAGTATTTATGGGTAAGAAATTAAAATATGTAAGCTCTTCTTAGTTATCCCATAAATTAAGTTCGGCGTGTTTCATAGATATTTTGAAAATTCTCAAGTATTGTTAAACAAAAATTAAAAAACAGTTAGTCATTCATCATTTAATAAGCACTATATAAGTATGGAGTTAGAAGTGCTTTATCTTAAAGTTTTACTTAACAAGTATTTATAAATGTTATTTAACGCTTTGAAAATGTCAACATTTGAAAAACTCAATGAAAAAGCTTACGTTATTTTTAAATATTTTTCACATATTTATTATTTGTACTTCTACCATAGTAACGAATCATGCATAACATTATACATATCCTATGGAATTATTTCTCTAGTCGTGCTCAATTAACTAGTTATAAAACGCTACTTGGTGCCTACCCACTGCCAATCTGTTATTGAATATTTTGTTATTAAAATTATTAGTTTTATTGTAGGTATAAAAACTTTTATAGTCTGTTATTTATTTTGCATGGTTAAAAAGTGGGAAATTATATAATGACAAGGTTTCAAGTTAGCAGGTTGGAATTAAAAATTACTAATTTATATATATATATATATATTCACTATTTATATTTTAATTTCAATAAGATCTATAAAACCATATCTGCCATAATTTTATTATTTAGCATTCTCACACTCTTTAATTTATCTTTTCTTTTAACAAATAAATATTTATTTTTTCAAACACATAATCAATTTTTCATCCAGTATCTCTCTACCATTCTACTTAAGATTAACGTCAAAATAATATTAAACAACACATTTAGAAATGTTTTATCAAAAATAGTAAGCTATACGACAATTAAAGTTAACGCTACACACGCAAAAAAATTCATCCACTAATCCATAAAATATTAAGTCTAACGGCCATGCTCGTGGATATTGTAGCCACAATCTCCACTTAATTCGATGTGATGAATATCATAAACTTCTCAAAAGACTAAAATATGTTGTATGAGAAGGTAAACTACTAACTCATTATGAAGGATAACTATAAAGAATTACAAAAAGTGTACAAACAAAATTTATGAAAACAAAACGAAAAAAATCTTATTAATAATTAATAATCCAAAACAGATCATCTGCTTTAAACAATAAGCTGCCTGAGGTTACAATATTTACATAAATACATTTAATTTCCAGCTTTTAATTAAAATAACTCTTTTCATTTCAAATTCTAATCTCATAATTCTAACACAAATACAAACTAGGATCTAAAACTTACCAAGTAACATTTTACATCTATTAATGACTTTAAATCACAAATTTATCACCTTATTTGTTTTCTTATTTGTAACTGTAGTCATTGATAAATTAATCCCAAAAATTGACCATTTCCTATCTATATATAAAAAAAAAAAAAAACCACTCACCAAAAGTACGCATACAAAAGTCTTAAAACAAATTGATAAAACTTTATGTCAAAAATATATATCTGTTTGATACCATATTGTTGCTGCGTAATTTATAGTTTAAAACGAAAATGACTACGAAACAATATTTAAACATTATTACTATTATATTTGAAACGATGAGAATTCAATCATGCTGACTATCGTAGAATATAATATCGAGGGCGTGTTTCGTGTATGACAGCTGATGGGTATAATATAAAAACATATTTACCTAACAAATAAAATTTAAAAGAGTTCATAAATAATCAAAAATACATATTACTTGGGTTCAATCACTCGGATATTATTAAACGCTCTATGTACACAAAATATGTATATTATACGTAAAGATAAAACATAAAAAGTACGTTTGTGAATAAAAATTATTTTACGACTAAATTGCAAGCAACAATTTTATAATATTTTGAGGATATTATATCGTTATAACTATAGCCGTTATAAAATGTTATTTGATATTATGACATTATCTCATTAATATAACATATACTTACATGGCGTATGTCACTGCGTTTATTCGAAAAATAATTAAATAGCCCACTATATATATATTCTATAAATATAATTTACAAAAATTTCATGTGGATAAAGATATAGGTATAGATGAATAATGAAGCTATAACAGATCGTAATCGACTATAGAATAATAATCATACGGATAAATCGAAGTTAACACAAAGCAATTAAATTTATTATACGATAATGGCCGAATACGAGCTGATACTAAAATATAATACGCAATGTCCAGTATTATGAAAGATCAAAATTAACACAAATTTTTACAAGTTAGTTACAATTAAAAAATATTAAACGTTTGTGGGGAACACAAAATTTGCCAAACAAGGCTTAAAATTTAAAATAACTTAGCTACGATATATACTGATATATAATTTAAAATAACCAAGTTTTACATTTTGTATGGAAATTCACATGAACCATCTCAAATAAATAGAAAATAACGATAACTTCTAGTTCACAAAGTTACTATACCAATATTTACTAGTAAATAACATTAACTTCGTGTATAATATCTTTTACTGTAATATATATATATTATTTACGTATGTACTTCCCACTACTCAGGTACAACATAGCCTACAAAGTACAGGCTACACTTTATGGTTATCTTATAACTATCAAACATCGATCTTTTGAAATATAAACACATCAATTTCAGAAATTTAATTGAAAAGTTTTTCGTAATATTTGATTGTATAGATAAACTTTCGTAGGAAAATCGGTTAATGTATAGATGAAGGTCGTTTATTAGATATTTCAAACGGACTAAACGGACCGTGTTTTGATACCACTCGAGGGACTCACTCAATCAATTTGAACTTGCTTTCTGTTATACGTAATAAATCATTCGACTTGGAACGCCTAAACTTATTATATTGGAAGTGGATGTTATTTGCAGTATGATTTTATGTTTTAGGTTTTAAATTTAATATATAATAAGTTCAATATGACGTTCCGTGGGTGGTACCGACCTATACATTTTTCAATTCCTTCTTAGGTTAAATCACTGTTATAACAGTCACATGTCGTAGAGAAGAACAAACACAGATCGTGATTTAACGTCATAGTAAACAAAAACCAAATAATTTATACCTGTTTTGTATTGTTATAACTTTTATACTAAGTGTATAGTGACTAAAATGAGCAAGATTGGGCAAGTCAACACATTAAATAAATGCATAATTACAATAATATTTTTTAGAAATAATACATGATATTATTAATACAGAAAGGGTGGCAGGAAGTCATGCCAACCAGTGATTGAACCCTACTATCAGAAATCGTTAATTATTTTGGTTAATTTTGAATTAATTGACTATTAAAGAGACCACCGCACATGATAATGTTGTTATTGAAAATTTTTAAATGAATTTCTCTAGATAAGGCTGTAATAGTATTCCATAAACACTTAAATACTGTGTTTAAAAACAATTCAACAGTTTAGTATTTTCAATACATTATACGACATTAATATTTATAGATCATATTTCTGATGAAATTGATAGAAATTGATACACACACACACACACACACACACACACACACACATATAGACATATATAAACAACAATGTTCGTAAAGCTAAATATATTTTAAACCTATTACATTTATTTCATGAAAAAAAAATGTACTAACGCAATTATAACAAATTTATCAGTAGTTGCGTAATACCATAGAAAAAACTTTAACTCGTTCAGTTAGAAGTAACTTAAAAAAAAAAAAAAAACTCGTTATGAAACATACATAAAACTACCATACACTTAACTTTTTTAACTCATTATAATTTCCAGCTTTATTGCTAATATTAGTAATATGTATTCGAGTAAATATGGCCAGCAACGCACATGAAGTGATACGTTATGATAATTACATTAATAATGATTCGCGTGAAACGCGAAAGGCTAATCGAGCAAAATTAAACAGAGTCGCACAACAACGCGCGTAGTAAAAAATATTTAAGACGAAAATAATACGAATAATCGTAATAACGTTTCATAAGTAGCGAAAAGTCCTAATATTGAGTCGTTTTGCTTGCGAACATACACACAAACACACAAGTGATAATAACATGGTTGTGTGCGGAAACCTAATCGCGAATGAAACGAATTTTATGTTAATACTATTATAATATTATATTGTATTGCACATAATATACGTATGTTGCAGTTGTACAGTCTACGGAGCCTGATGCAGGGCAGTAAGAAAAACCAAGGTATGGCGCCGCTGGGCAACAATTTTCGACCACCTCAACCGCTGCACAATCGGCTGGTTCGCACCAATATCGATTTCAACCTCAGAAAGGTATACATAATATTCGTACTACTTATATGTATATTGCATGATAATATACTGATGTACACATGGGCATTTTCAATGAGGAAAAAAATTATTCGGTTTGGAGGGGTGTAGACGGCAGTACTTGAATTAGGGGTGACGCGGGAGACAGAGTGCCTCTTTTCCATGAAAATTGATTATCGTACCCCTTCTAATTATATCACCCCACTCGAATTTAAATATAAATCATCGATAACACACATATCGTCTATATCGTCTATACTTCTTCGTACCCCTGTCATATATTTTGTTTTCCGATTATTAAAGTACTACACTTATGTAGATCGCGATCAATATAATATATAATTTGAAATTTGAAATCGAGTAAAAAATATTGCCACTGCATAATGGTGAGTGGAAGGGGAATGTTGATTGTATTTCACATACTTCAGTTATTCAAACCACACTGTGAGGCAAACTCAAACTTTCGTAATCGATATTTCCAACGTCGTATATATTGTATTATATTATGATAGCACATTCCTTAAATATGTAATTACTATAGCATGATATAATTATTATTACACATTACGCTTACCGAGTTTTTCTCTGGGACTTTCCGTACAACGAACATTTTAGTCCAATCTGTTTTTCGAAATTACGACGATCGTGCGCCTGTACATTATATTAATATATTATTAAAGTATATAATCTTCGAAGTAAAGGTATTAACAAACAACATAACACATTATAGTGTATTATATTTTCGACAAACGTTTAGCCTACAATTAACGTCAAACAATTAGTTAATACATTGTATAATATTTAAAGTTTTTATTTTTTTCCCTACATAACTGTTCAAACAAAGATTTTTTAATATTAATAAGATCGTTCACGTCATCGTGACTATACTCTACAGCAGTGTTTCCCAATCTATGGGTCGCGAAATATTACTTTTGGGTCGCCAGCATAGACCTTATACGAGTATAAGATCTATGGTCGCCAGTCGTGACCTATAATTAAAATATACATGAAAATAATTTAAACAAAAAATGTATACATGCCTAAGTTATGTTTTATTTGATACCTTTACGTATAATAATAATTTGAAATCTCGCAAGTATTGTAAATTCTACAATGTAGATATCAATATACCTTTTAATTTTGTATTCAATTTAGATCTTATCGATATATGTGCTAATGACCGTCGATGTGGTATCGCTAAATTTTCTATACAGTTGAGTAATAAGTAGTACATAGAGACTACGAGAGTAGGTACAAACAAAAAGTTTTAGTTTATGATTAGACACTCATTTTTAAATACTCAAATTTTATAAAATGTATATTAAGTTTCAATTTTTTTGATAGATAAATTTATTGTTTGTAAAACTACATCCGGTGGTAACTATTTACCAGTTCTATCAGGCAGCAAGTAGTAAATGTATGGGTTGTCATTAGAATACTGATTTACAGTCTACAACGTCGACGACGATTGCCCATAAAAATATGACAATTGATAAATTTAGCTTCTCTATTTACATATACCTGGTAAAAATGTTTTAAACAGACACCTCTAAATAACGGACACCAATAAAAAGAGAATGTTTTTTTTCGGGGAGAACAAACTACAACCTTTCTATTAAGTAAACTGTTGAGCACAATTTAAACGATCTAGAATGTCTGGAATTTAAAGGTTCCACTGTATTATATTAATGCATTATTACTTATAGTCCAGACTCCAGGGACGGCTAAACAGTCGATTGCGATTGACCGGTCGATCACATACGATTTCAAAATCGATCGTGTTGAAATTTATTTTTAGACTACGCACACGAAAATTAATTATGGTGGTATAGTAGCTCAATAATAAAAACAAACAATTTCGAAAATCGAAGTCGATCCTCAAAGGTGAAGTATATTTTTAGTAGATCGCGGCCAAAAAAAGTTTGGTTGTCCTTGCTATAGTCTATACCACCTTTACATTGGTTTTCGAGGTCATCGACCCCTAGAATCCTTATATACACACATATATATTAAAATGATAAGACATATCTCCGATTTACAATCTACTCGTGTATTATAGTATTCTGACGTCGACTGCGTCATCGCCACGGCTGACCGAATAAAAACCGTTTCGTCTGCCGCGTGCTATGACGTTAATGGAGTGCGCTCATGTTTTATTTTTATTTTTATTTTACAGGACGATGAGAAATACTGCCCAAGCATGCACAAAGACGTATACTACAAGGGTAAGTGTATTAATTGCCGGTTATCCGTTTGTCACGATTTATTTATTCGTTTAACGGTCCGGCAGACGAATATAGTGCGATAGTCCTTTTTATTATAACATTATACGTTCATTTGTATTACTATTATACATTTATACCAGTCTACTACAATTATAATAATATGTATATTATCTACAAGGCGCATTACTAACGCCGCCCGCATGCACTTCCGACCATCCGGCAGGCGATATTCACACACACACACACACACACACTTATACATATTTAAGGTCACGTGTATATAATTTATCGAACTCTCCTCTATTTTTGTTGGCCACGAATTTGGGTCTCGCACATCACCTTGATATATACGGCGTTTTGTTTTGTTTCAGCCAACGACTGGAAACCGCACTAATAACGTACCTGCGTAAACAGAACGCCGCCGCCATCGTCGTCGTCCGTCGAAACAACAACATCCGTTGTCGAGCGACCCGGTTGACATTCCAGTATACATATTATAATATAATATTATTGTGTAAAATAAATTATTTAATTAAGTATAAAAATAACTGAGAAAAAAACAAATGGTTCGCCGAAAGTCGACGAAAAAACTATAAAAAATAACCGACTCTAAGACTCCCAGAGGACCCTCTCACACTTATCATTCTCTCTCTCTCTCTCTCTCTCTCTCTCTTTCTCTCTCTCTCTCTCTTTCTCTGTCTATCTATCTTTCTCTTACGCCATCTCTAAATCTCTTTCTTTCTCTAACCCTCCGAATAGATTAATTTCGGCCCGAGCTCGCGTCTCATTCCGGTAGTCACATCACCACACGATAATAATGTTATCCGTTCCGTCTTCAGTTCGGTTTCGTTTCGACGACAGTCGTAATAACTAATAATAATCGTATGAAATTTATGATATCATATATTTTATGAATGAAAAAGTCCCGTGCTGTTGTACTTGAAAATCGGTACCACAAACAATTCTTCTATATTCTAGTGCACCGTGCAAGAGCAGAGGAGTACCTTAGGGTCGGATTTTTTTTTGTTATTTTTGTTGCGTTTTTCATATTTTTTTTCAGGGATAATAGTTGTATTAATAATATATATGTCTTCGGCTCGATATCGGGAGGTTCTTGAAAACAGAATCTTTCGCAATACGCACGTTCCAATAACTATAATGTTATGGGAGTAAAAAAAAAACGCACGCGAAAACCCTCGAACGAAACAATATACGTAGTGTAGCCAATAAAATATATTATAGTACCCACCTACCTACCTACCTATTCTATGCATACACGCCGACGACTTGTATAAAAATCGCTCTCAGTTTTTCTGACTTTTATAGATTTTGCATTAGGACACGTTGTGTTTATGGCACATGAAACATTTTCCAGTATAACGTCGTTCCGAAATATGTATTCGTCATTATGCGAAATTTCTCGCTCGAATCGTATTTCTTACTAACCTTACGCAAAACGTTAATGTTTGCCTTTTTTAAATATTTTTTTAATTTTATTACTAATCGAACGGCGCCGCACGATTTTCCGTAAATAACAAGTTATTAAGTGTCAGGCGTGATTTGAGCTTTTTAATTTTTATCCTGTATATTTATTAATCTATAATTATTAAAACCTTATATTAATAGACGGATTTATTTTTTCAAAAAATATCGGAAACTTGTTTTAAAAAGTCGTGTTAATCTTATAATCCGCGTGACTTAATATAATATTATTTTAGTAAAATTATATGATATAATATTATTACAATATCGTATATTCGTATAACTATTTAGATAATAAATAACCTCACAAGTCACAGTATAACGGTTTGTGTTCATTAAAATTATATTCATAGCCGCTATTCTCGACGGAGATATACCACCTATTTAATAATAGCGAAATAAATAAAAAATCCTAACGGACTTAAATTAACTTCTATATTCTAACTCATCTATAGATTTTTACGATATTTAGAGCCTGTTGATATCGAGCTGATTTTGCACTGCGTTAAAAAAAAAAAAAAACATAATCATCTCATACGCGAATACATTACACATATCTCCATGATTGTAACAATTTATATTTATGTAAACAGTTTCAGAGCACTCTTAATTTTGACTGAAATTCAATTGGAACATATTATTTTGCTAGCGTCTTAATTTTATTGTAATAATACAAAAGTTCATACATATACATTATGCATATTAAATGGATATCTGTAGTGTGTCAAGGTTCCTAAAATATGTTGTTATCATTATTAGTATATTAATAAACCTATGACTATGTGTTTTGATTTTTTGGTTTGAATTCTATTTATTTATTAGGTAAAACATTTGTACTTAGCTATTAAATATATCACTACAATTTATTATTGTCATACTATACTATGTATAGATTATTAACAAAATTCAAAAATACAACTCCCGGAATTAATGACAAAACACGATTTCATGTTTGAAGCGTAATCATAAATTCTATTATTATTTATCAAACATTAACTATAAAAAGAATAATTTTAATTTTAATTATATAAGAAGTAGGTACGCAAATTCATGTTTTTCAATAATAATATAGTGTTGCATAAGTTAAAAATGCATCTACTCTTTAAATATTCAATATTTTTTTAAAGGATATTTGATATAAACACAGATTTGTAAATACAAATATATACGTTATGATGGAATTAGGTCAAATTAATAAACTATAGTTGTATTATTAAAACATTTCTTTTTTTACATATTTCATCAACCAATGGTATTATAATAATTAATAATTAGTATTTTTAAAATATTGTTCATAATCATGATTAAATGTCCAGCGTAAAATCATTATTCGTCACAAATCCACAAATCATATAATATCTGCTAAAATTCACAATATTTATAATTCTATAAAAGGGAACATAATGTTTAAAGTCAATACAATTTTGAACTAATATTATATGTGCTCGATTGTTTTAAACAAAATTGTTCAAAACATGTTTTTAGAAATGTAATTTTGTATGGTAAAATATATTTGAAGAATACAAGGAGGAGAAACATAAAAAATATACATTGAACAAATAGAAAAAATGCGCGTTCAGTAAATAAGTCTTGGGTGCATGACAGATAAAATATTCACGGAGAGAGCGAAAAATCCGGTGTGAACGAATGGGAAACATTTGACATAAAAATGTAAAGGTGTCGAGCAGAGAAAAAAAGAAAGAATTCTAGTTTATCTGTGATAACAAATCATAACGAGAAGGCTGGTATAAAACAACATTTCAACTACTTGAGATTTCTTTAAGTTCTACCTGAGAATTACGCAAATATAAATCGTTGCGGAAACAGATTTTTTTCCTCTCTCATTTCTCAAGCGTAGAATAGGATCATTCAATTTATACGTATAGCTTTAAACAACTTACTTGTATTTGTTTACTAGGCATTTTTTATATTTTCATTTCTTTTTGGTCTGATAAAAATAGCTATAGGCACCCATGTTGAAAATAAATGAACAATATAGATTTAAAACACCGCAACAGCACAATTATAAATATTAATTCGATGCGGTGTATTATAAATGAGCAACTTTTTTTACAGGTAAGAATAATTTTTTTTAACTAAAATTGTACTCAGCTTTGAATAAAACGAGTTTACAAATAATTGTTTTTATCTATTAACTGACCACAATTTATAAATAGGCAACAGCTATCGCTTTATCAAACTCGCTCCATTTATCCATTTAAGCGTAAGTACCTATTATTTATTTGCACTTAATCCTACAAAATAAATTTAAGAAAGAGTATAAATAATAAATGTTTAAAACGTAATAAATTGATGGTTTTTCTTATTTTTAAAACAAAATTAGTTGAATACAACGATTTTTGATTTATTAAATGTCATCAAATCGTTACCATGACAATACATGTCATGTAATTAATGGACAAATCGAAAAAAAGCCCATATGCATGGTGCATTGATAAAGATTATTTAGAAATAGAAAACTATCCGTCATATCTTGTATTACTGCTCGGTTAAAAAAAAAAAACCTTTTCAAAGAACAGTTCATAATAATATTAGCTACGAATATGATTTAGGCACAATATGTGACATTTGTGAAGGTTTACCGTTTTGTATGACATATTAAGCTATAATCAATTTAATGTTAATATACAATATTTAAAATTATTATGACCTCGAAAATACTATTTTTCTATCTTTATGTAATGAATAATTTATCACTAAAATATTTATATTTTAATTTATTTTAATAGGTTTTGAATAGTACTAACTTTTTGTATTTTCATTTATTTTACAGTATTTATTTAACAAAACTTTAAGGACTATTTAATGTTACGATGCTCAGAGATTTATTTTTAATAAATTATTTGAAGAGTTAAAATGTTTCACCACTTTATCTATATATTTAGTCACAATAGGTAAAAAATATTTATTATATTTTGCACCCTTTCTCCAAAAGAAAAAATATGTACATTATGCTATTTTTTGCCTATGTAATACGCCATCCATTACACACTAATAACATATTATATTATTTTAAATTCGCTATTTCAATAATAACCATATATCAAGAATTATAATATTTAATATGAACTAAATAAAGGTTAGGTTAAAATAATATTAATAATATGAGTATTAAATAGATTTTTTTTTTTAATTTTTATAGTTAAATATTTTGAATAAAACAAATAAACTATAATAGATATATTTTATAATTTAAAATCAAATTTGAACTTATTAATAAATAAAACCTTAGATAATTCAAGTATAAAATTTTGTTAATAATAATACATATATTTAAATGTCTAGTTAAGTAATTCGTTGTATCTTCCTTTTTAAGATGAATAATAAATGTTGAAAAGAATTTAACTTGTTGTTATGAGAACGAGCTATTAGTTTAGAATTAAATCATATTAAAACTAGAAACAAACAATATTGATAATTTTATATCATAAAATAGTTTTTAAAATAAAATTTGAATTAAAAAATCTTATTATTATTGTGAGTTTTAATGGTAAATATGCAGGTCAAAGTTAACGGTGTTAAGCTCGCTCACCTCATTGATATCTTTGTAATAATTTTTAATTCGTTAAAAATATTATATTATTTTTGATTTAGTTATAACTATATAATTTCTATTTTTTTTAAATTAAATTATCATAGTAATACTATATACAAACAAAAAATACAATTGCCAATATCTTTTAAACATATATTTATATTTTTACTATATGTACATATAAGTAATCTATTTTTAAACATGATATGTTTGTTTAAATTTTAATTGATAAACCATATACATTTAAAAAACAAATAAAATGCAGAATTCATGCTTTAGTTAAAATATGGATAACAATTTAATTTAATTATGATAAATGACGGCTATGACGCAAAATAAGGTTTAATTTGGCGAAAAACATATTTTAGAAAATTTTAAACTAATAAAATAACATTATTCTTTAATTTTAAATAAGCATTTAAAACACTGCATTCTTTTAATTAATATTTAATCGGTAACCAAACACAACATTTAAAAATCTACCACATATGTTTATTCTTTATTATAAGATATCGAAGGTAAGAATTCCTATTATTTTATTTAGAATATGGTGAATATATTGTAAATTAATTCGTTAATGGTAATCCCATATCGGTGTAAAGTTGTTTATTTTGCCACATGGACCAATGGGACAATACTGCGTATATGTTAGGAACGGTTTCACTATTGACAAAATTATTTGTTTAAAATATTATAAAATTCCATATAATATTATATATCTGTGTGTGTGTGTATGTTTGTGTGTGTATTTTAGAATTTTAGTTAATCCCTAGTTTTTTTTCAATAGTTTATCTCAAATTAACATTATACTTAACTTAAAAAATATACTTACTAAATCAAAAATCGTTGAACATAATTTATGGGTTTTTTATTTTTAATTAATAATTAACTCAAAAAGATTTTGAAAAATAATATGTACATATTTATATAATTATTTACTTATATTATATTATACATAAATATGATATTAATTATTATTTTACAATTGAATTTTCAGAGCAACATAAAACATAATAATTTCGATTAAGTGGAATATTTAAAAGCAATATGAAATACAAAAGGAACATTTAAAATATAAAATGTGTTACAAACAATGTTTTATCGTTCCGATTTAACATTTGTTAAGTGTAAAATAATTATTAAAAAAATGTCTACGGTAAAATTTTAATGCTCCCAGATAAATTCCTATAATAACCAATAATAACTATAGTATACAGCATATAATATTGCGCATATAACTCTGAACTGATTTATTACTTTTATACGAGATACGTAGATAGCTAAATCCGACAATTTTTTTTTTTAATAGTAAAAATAGTAGTGAACCCACCAAACCTTTTGCTGCCTTAACAATATGTTTAATCAACCTAAATCGATCATGTTGAGTATTTACTGTCTACAAACTCGTAGCAAGGTGGCATTAAACTAACATAAGGATATAACATCCTTATATTAAAAGGATATATATTATAACTAATATATTATATTACATAATTTGTGCAGATTGCTTTACCAAAAATTTACTCATCTTCAATTTTGTCCCTTAATAATACAATTTTTCAAAGTATTATTTTAAGTATCCAAATACAATTAAATTAACTATACTTTAGTTTTTGACCAATTTAATTTGGGCAATTTTCAGCCCAATTTTGTATTAGGTTTAAAAAATACGCAATAGAATGAAATATAGTTTTAAAATTAAAATAAATAATTTTAATTAATTAATATTTTATAATTTGTTAAAACTATCGAAACATAATAAGTACTAGATCACATTTAACACAACATCTATTTTCTATTTTATGTAAAACTATTATGTTATCCTTAGTAACTATACACAATATTAAACTTCTTAATAATACAGAAACTACTTAACCGAATGATGATAATTATTAAATACCTACGCCAATATTTAGAAGAAAAAAAATGTTTACTTAACAATTAACAATTTCAATCAAAAATAAAGTAATTTGAATCACCAAAAAATACTTTTTAAATTATATAAAAAAATCTAAGAATTTTAAAATATAGTATTTTTAATTAGTATATCCAAAAAATAACTAATTTATAAACTTCAAAGTTTTGTAGTTAACACTTATCTGTAATTTTTATCAAAACTTTAACTGTGAGCATATATTGGTCATTTAAATAGTAAGTTAAAAATGTAGTGGTTATGAATGAATTTTTTATATCATTAACAC